TAAAAAAAAAATCTCCCAAACCAAGTATATATATTTAAGGGATGAGCCAAACACAGTTTGAGGATATTGGATTGTGCTCATCAGCTGCCATCTAGATCTCCCCCCCCCCGCAATGTACCTATATACTAATAGCCAAGTGTCCCCAGTGTGTGCGGATACTTATTTCCGCAAATTGGGGGCACATGGAGGCTCAACAGAAATTCCTGCACACTTGAGGCATTACTTAGGTATGCAGAAAAATTTGACATGTTTAAAAAATATACAGGGATACTTAAATCCCCCCAAAACTGAAACTGCGTTCTCGCGCATGCGTGGAGAAACGACTTGCCGTTTGGAACTGTAGCGGAGCTTACTGCTGGCAGCGGCAAGGGAGCCTTGGCGAGTGGGCAGGTGGGATCCGAGCAGGGCTTGCTGCTGTTGCTGCTGGGGGCAGGGAGAAGCCACGGCGGGCCGGTGGGTGGCTGGGACCCGGGCAGGGTTCACCGCCGTTGCTGCTGGGCTCACCTGCGGCCACCTCCTCCTCCTCAATGAGGATCTCCTCCTGCTTTGCAGGCTGTGGGATATGCTCCCCCCCCCACAAGTATCGCCAGTCCCGCTTCTTGTATGTATATAATACTGTCAAAGTCACTAACAGTATATTGGTAGAATATGCACATTAGATCTGTTGCCCTAGGACTATTTCTTGATGTGAAATGGTGCCACTCCTGTTCTGATATGAAGATGGTAGGGGGCAGATGTCAGCGGGAGGCTCGAGTCCTCCAGAAGGCCCAAGACTGTTGACAGGATGAGTAAAATGAGAGAATGTATAATTCAGTCTTCCCATCCAAGCATCCTGTTAAAATTTTGTTATCGCAACCTTCCCTTAGGAAGCTTAGAGTGGTGTTTTTACTTATTTCAGAACCAAACAGGTATTTGAACCTGGGTTTCCCAACACTTTAGCCTCTCTGTACCACACTGTCTTAAAGGTTCCACTGGAGGAAATTAAAAAAAACCACACCTCTGACTCAGTCTTAGCGGTCCATCTGTAAAATGGGCACAGTACCAGTTTACCTCTCAGCTTGGGACTGTGGAGGCAAAAATTGCGAAGCGATTCTATACATATAATAAGTCAGGAATACTCTGCTTCAACAAAAGTTTTTCTTTAAAATGCCTTACACTGACCTTGCCACTGAAAATAAGACCAAAACTTCAATTCCCCCTAGTGGTGGAGCCTTCATCTGGTGAAAGAGAAGTGGGATATAGGCTGGGGTGGGGGCGAGCTATGCTGTTAGTGAAACAGTGCCTTAAGATCCAACCCTGTAGGTTGAATTAAAACAGATCTTTTGTACATTTGGGAATAAATCTGACTTGAGCCTGTTTCTCTCTCTCACCCCTTCATCTACCTTGCAGGGCTTGTTGTAAGGATAAAATAGGACAGTCCACTAAGAAATAATGGGGAAGTAAAGCTTGCTTGTCCTGACCTGGATAGCCCAGGCTAGCCTGATCTTGGAAGCTAAGCAGGGTCAGCCCTGGTCAGTATTTGGAAGGAAGACCACCAAGGAAGTCCAGGGTCATGAAGCCTAGGCAGGCAATGGCAAACCAACTCTGAATGTCTCTTGCCTTGGAAACCTGACAGGGTCGTCATAAGTCAGCTGTGACTTGATGGCCAAAAAACAAAAGCTTGCTTCCTAATAACATTTCTTCTGGGATGACAGAATCGGACAGGTTTCGATTTTGATCCCGTGTCATACTTGCTGGTGGAGAGTGCGTGGCAGTTCTCTCGGGTACCTTGGGACACTTGCTGGAATCATTTGCCGCTCTGCGGCTCTTGTCCAGGGTAAGCCCTTGTCCAGGGTAAGCCAAATAGAGCCTCCATGATTAAAGGCTCTGGCTGTCTGACAGAAGCCGGACAAGGCTGTTGCATGACTGTGAGTCCCCCATGGCCGGTTGCTTCCAGAGGCAGGACATTGGGATGGGATTGACTGTTCTCATGTTGTTGTTCTTTTCACACCCAGCCAGCTGTGATGTGTCATCCTATGGCCTGCCTTTGGGGAAAGAGGGAGAGGCTGGCGTGACCTTGGTGACAGGAAGGGTGTGAAAGAGACACCCAGCAGACCACTGTTGTTGTGCGGGAGAGTCAGAAGACCTAGGGAAGGATGAGTTCAGTGGATGATGGGGGGGGGTGTCCCTGCCCATCCTACTTTTCCATTTTTAACCCCCTTCTCTGAATTCAAAGCAGCAAATATTAAGCAATTATCCATAACAACAACAAAAAACACCCCATTCATATATATAAAATCTACAGAATAACTCAACAAGGACCTGAGACACCTTCTGGAAGAATCCAAATCTTGCAATTGTCTTCTGCAAGCAGGCAAGGGCAGACTAAGGTGGGCACTCCGCGGCAAAGGGATCCCCCCAGTATCGATCCCCCCTGCCCTCTGCTCCGACCAGACCTTTTTGATAGAGCGTGCTTGGCCCAGGGCCCTCCCACTGAGGTCTGGAGGGGCAAAGGAGCTCAGGCGGATGGGGGCTTGGATTTTTTAATATCACGTCTGACCGAGTCGGCTCTGTCTACAGAAGCTTACGCCGGCATAAAACGTTGCAAGCCCCAAAGGGGCAGATAGATTCCCCGTTTATATTTTCTGCAAGCGACTGACACGGCTACCCCTCTTGATTTCACAGGGAATCCTGGCTGTGGCTCAGCGGCAGAGCATCTGCTTTGCATGCAGACGGTCCCGTGTTCAAGACAGTCCCCTGTTCGATCCCCCACATCTCTGGCTAAAAACAAGCTCCAAGAGCAGGAGCTGGGATGTTTTCTCTGCTTGAGACCTGGAGCGATACCAAGGCTGAATGGACCAATGGCCAGACGCGCTGTAAGGAAACTTCTTGTATTTGTGGTAGCCGTCTTCCAGCTCTGAGTCAGTGATTCTGAGGAGCAAAGAGCGGCAGCTGCCTTTTAAGGATCACAGCACCGCCATCTGCCTCTTTTTGTCTGATTCATTTAAATGATCCACAGACAGGCAGGGTAAGGGTTAAATGAAACAGGGTGGAGGGGCGCTGGGAGGAAACCCCTGAATCCTCCCCCAATCGACCCACCCGAGTCAGCCCACTTCCCAACCACCCTGTGCCTGCGGCATTTGGAGAGAGATGTATCCATGCTGGGATCCACAGGGATTAGAGGCGCTCGGCTGCCGGAGAAAACTCTGGGCTCATTTCCCCGTGGACTCGAAATGTTTTCTGTGCACAGAACAACAGAACAGCTGGGGAAGAAGGGCAAAAGGAGTTCTGGTCCGTGGGCACTTCTGCACAAATAGCAGGCAGATTCCTGACAGTTGCGACCTTTTCCAGGGTTCATGGGAGATACCTGTAAGCGCCAGCAATTCCAGGGAGACCCCTGGTGTTTTGCAGTGATTAAATGGGGGGGGGAGGGGAAAAGGTCGAGGCTTTGGCCACGGAAGCAAAGATTATTCTTCCCCATTCATTCATCCTGGTCCAGCCTACCCAAAGCCATCCCCTTACCCCGCACTCAAAATTTAAGCGCTGTTTGCCAAAGTCTCCGGATATCCTCACTGGTCCACATTTCTTTTTCTAGGGAAATCATACAAGTCACCTCTGTAGGAAGAACAAATCTCTCTTAGCCCGTGCCAGTCAACCAAGTGACGAACAGCGCCTCTCGAACTCAGAACTCCAGAAAGGCTTGCTTTGAATCCACCACACGTTTGGACAGCCACTGACAAAGATGCCTTCTCTCTTGATAAGCACACAACACTGCTGAGCCCAGGGCAGCCAATTTCCTGTTCTGCGTTCCTAAGGCCTCTCTGGGTGAACTGCAGAAGACGGCTTAAAAGCTGGCCATTGGTGAGTTCGTGCGTTTTGCAGAGGATACCTGAAAATTGTTGGCTTTTAAACTAGCAAATCATTGATTCAGCACGAGATCTGAATCTGCATTCGAATCTCTGCACAGTCAGGGGCCACACTGGGTGGCTTTGTGGAAGTGTCTACATCGGCTCAGATGCCTTCTTCCCCCTTCTTTTCAGTCACAGGAATTTTTCTCTCCTGTATGAGTTGCTTTCCTCCCACCCCAGGAATAAAGAATTGTTACAACTTGAAGGGGGATATTGGGTGGCCTTCAGATTTTCTTCAGAGAAACTTACAGGAAGTGTTTTGCTCATGTTTGGGATCTGACTGTTCACCACAGGAAAAGAATCCCCACTGTGCACTGTCTGATTGGCTGGGTATCATGGAGATACAATATATTCCTTTGTGCATCTGGCTTATTTGCAACTTGGCTCACTGGCTTGAGTTATCTGGATCCGTTTGCTTTGCATGAACCTTCTGAAGGTATACCTGTCTTCTCCTTATGCTACATTCAAGCCTACACACTGCTCCAGCTAACTCAAGTAAGCAAGCCAAGTTGTAAACAAACCCAACTACCCAGAAAGGAAGCAAGCAAACAAAAAATTATCCTTCTGCCACCAAGGCAATTTGAGGGAGACTGGGGTTGAATTGTTTCCTGCAAAGTCACTATTCCTTGTGGGGGAGTTGCCCCTCCTGGAGTCTTTTAACAACACAAATTTAGCAGGAGAAACTTTAAATTGCAGGGGACAAAAGCAATTGGGGGAAAGCTGCTCCACTTTTCATGCAGTGGATAAAGTGTTGGAGCAGAAGCCATCTCCCAAACTATGGCAACTTTCCTTTAAAAGTGGCCGGTCCTGCCTTTTGCACAGGCACGGGGGTTGGACTAGATGGCCTTTGGGGGATCCTTCCCCAAGCCTGCGATGCTATAACCCCGTCTCGCAAAGTTGATGCAAGGATAATTGAAACCAGGCAAGCCCCGGCGCATGCTAAAAAGTGCTAGAGAAAACAGCCGAGCATTTAAAAAAAACTGCTTGATCATACTAATTTCAGGCGACGCTTTTCGCCGGCTTGCCCCTCGGCTCTGCTTTTAGGCATGCACAAGGGCACATCGCTGCCTTCTCCCTTCCCCTCCAACCTTGCCCGGTCCAGCGGTCACTCACCAGCAGATAGATGCTCCCCTGGATGAGAAATATGAAACAGCACCGTGTCAGCTGCATTTTTCCCCCCAGCCTCTTTCTTCCTATCGATTTTCTGCAAATCTGTTCTGCCTTCTCGATCTTGCTTGTTACACCCTGGCCTCTGGCCTCCTAGGATCCCCCCATTCCAGGCTCGCTTTGGCAGTCTCTTCCCAGCCAGACATGGGGTGTTGGGGGGGGGGAGGAGGGAAGGCAGCTGGTTCACCCACTGCAGCTGGAGACCTCCATGTGTCTGACTACCGGCTGTTCCCTGGTTTGCTGGAGACTCTGGTAAAACTCATTCCAGTCCCTCGCTCTGCTCTCCACTAGCTCCCTCCCACTGATAGGTGCCACCACTGGAGCATCGAGCCTCGCCTTAACCCTTGCCTGCCTGCCAACTTGGAAACTCGGCACCGCACTCAAAAACTTGGCTTTCTGGTGTGTGGGGGGGGGGAAGGGGAGGGGGGCAGAGAAGGCCATTCCCACCGAGCTAGGCCAGGATCCACCGACGAAGAAGGCTGAAGGTGGGTTCGGAAAAGATGCTGCGTGGATTTCGAGACGGATTTTCGTTTTGTCTTGCAGGATTTTTGTCGGAAGATGAAAGCAGGGTGTCTTGGGTTCTGGACTAGGCTGGGGGTCCTGCTTGAGGCAGGGCTGAGCTGCAGGACCCGGCTGGAATGTAACACTCCCTCCCGCCGGATCTTTTCAGGCTTGTCTATCTGCGAAAGGGCAGGCTCGGAGTGACTGTACCACGCCACGGTGCTAGCGGAGCTGGTTGTTAAAAATATGGGCTTAGGGGCCAGACTCAGTGTCCTTTCCAGGTGTGAATTTCCTGAGCTCCTGTCTTCTCCTTTGAGAACTAAGGTCTTATCATTTTTAAGAAAACCCACACAATTAACTGGAAGAAAAAGACTGGAGAGTATCGGAGAGTATGGGAATACAGTCGTTGCAACCCTAAACCTTTTGAGACTGTTGAAGCCGTCGGGTGTGATTCTTCTCAGGACTGCACTGTCCTACGGTGTGTGCCTGGGCTCCCAAGGTGACAGCCAGTGATCATTGGTCCACATGGTACCTTCTACCCCCTCCTTATTAGCATAGGGCCCGGTCTACCCGGATTGGTGGAAAGCCTTATTGAAATGAATGGTGTTCTTACCTAGCTCCTTTCAGGACAGATTGTGCAGGGCAGCTGCCAGATGGACCACGCCACGTCTGTCTCTCCATCTGCCATGTTTGGCAGCGGTACCCACAGCACACCTTGCTTTGTGGCATGACCACCTCTACCCTCCCCACCTCCCGTTTTCCCTTACACCATTTACCTGTGACATCCATCCCAGGGGCTAAAGGAGACAATGAAAGGTCTTGGATGGGATCCAAGGCTCCCCTGTCGTTCTCCGGCGACATAGCCAGGGGAACCACTCACCAAACCCCCGTAGGGTGGGGACAGCACCGGGTGCTTCCTCTCCTCCTGCCAAGAGGCCGGCCCCCAGAGTTTGAAGAACAAAGCTGGTGATAGGGAGGAGAGAAGAAGCTGAAGGGCCGTGGTTTTGAGAAAGCTGCTATATGAGTTAGACGGGAGGGAGAATTTGCACAGGTCCCACTTTTCCCAATCGGAGAGCTGCACTGATCGAACGTGCTGTGCTGAAGGGCTTTCTTCCCTTCGGCAGAGTCCTTCAAGGGCACGGGGGGGGGGTGTCCTCCCAGTTTTTGACAGTCCAGGGCTGCTCTTTTTATGGAAGCTGCTCATCCCACTTTTCAAAAAAGAAGTTTTGATGATACAGTAAGGAAAATCAGGCTCCTGCAGGGTCCTGAAATGGGGACTTCTTTTAGCAGTGCTTTCAAACGGATGACTGGTGTGTGTTGGCAGCTAGAAAAGGAAGTACGGGGAAGTCTCCGCCGGAGGAGCCCCGTAATGCAAGAGACTTTGGCCCAAGCCACAAGATGTGCTCAACAAGTGCTGTGTCATGTGGAGCCAGACCCTCTCACACCTCACATGGAGTCAGAGAAAAGGGGCAAATAGGCCCCCCCACTTCCGTTTCCACTGGCGAAAGTGGGGTAGGAGGGAAACCAGAAGCCCCCCCCCTTTGTGGCGCCAGGCAAACAAGCACTGTTCAAGGTGAGTTTCCCCAATGTACATCTGACTGCAGGCCAGGTTGCGCATCGTGACCTGGCACATGTTGAGCACATCATGTATTTTGGCCCTTAGGGAGTTGCCGAATCCTTCTCTGGCAGAGGCACCGTGCCTTTTAATAGCTACAATAGAGACACAGATTTCAACAAGTGCTGCCTCCACCAGTGTGGGAATGAAAGAGGCCCGTGTTCAATGTTCCCTCTAAGCTGTGGGGTCTTGTGAGCAAAAATTCTGCTTTGTGAGCTATCGGCATTAAAGTTGTGAGCGAGCAATTTGGTTACTGCATAAATTAGTCTGCTTTGGCGCCATCCTTCCTGAGCTAAGACAAAAATGGGTGAGCCGAAGGCTAAAAAACTGTGAGCTCACTCTAACTCAGCTTAGAGGGAACACTGCCCGTGTTGAATTTCTGCCTCCTGTGACTGTTAAAAGGCACAGGATCCCAGGCCAGGAAAAAAGTTGGCAGTCCTACAGACAAAAAAAAAAGGCAGGAACTTTTCTACTCCAATTAATTAACTAAAATGGAATTGATTCTTTTTTTAAAAAAAGATCCTGCTTTTCCATTTGAAATAAATGTTGAAGGCAGCTAGAAGGGAAATAGCTGGATGTTTTAAATGACTCCACTGCTCAGTAAAGACATTATTTATTTTTTAAATAAGTCAGGTCATATTTTACAGTATGGCCCAGAGCCATGACAATATTACAAAGAGGCAAATCAGTCAAAAAAAGAGAGAGAGATCAATAAAACAGGAACAACAGCTAATTTGACCAATACCAAATCAAACCAATTCATTTTTCAAATCAAACCTGCCCTTTTCACTGAGTCCTGGAACGCTGCAATTTGAAAAACCCTGTATGAATTGGATAAATTAAAAAAAAATGAATGGAACGAAACGAATGTTTTCATAGCTCAGAATTTAAAACGGGGTACATTCTTGACCTGAAAATTCTTTCCCGTGATTCCAGATGCTGATGTGTGACATAGAAGGTGCTGAATGGGTTTGATCAGGAGGGACTGAAAGACACTCTGCACATGATCAGAGGTAGCTCTATCCACAGGTTCCCTTAGAAAAAGATTGGAGGAGCTCTTGTGCAAATCCAAAGGTAAACCCAATGGACTGGCCTTTTGGGGAGAATGTTCTCTGTACATTTCAGCATAGAGGCGCTTGCATTTCTGTGCACTTCCAGACATGCCAATCTCTTACCTGGTAAATCAACCGTCTTCCTCCTTCCTTTTTTCTTCTCCTGGAATCCTTCCCACCTCTATTGGCTTGCTCTTCCCTTCCATCCTGAGAGGCTAAACTCAGGATTTTCTTCCAAACACACTGTTTAAAAACAAAAAAAACAAAGCCCCCCCTGGATATTTTGTTAACCAACCTAAGAGGTTCCCTTCTCAAAGGAAACAAATTTCTTATGCAGCTTGACAACTTTGAAGCTCGGCTATGACCTAGGAGACTCGGGTTCAAGTCTCCACTCGGCCATCGATTGCATTGGGTGACTTTGGACCAATCACTCACTCAGCCTAACCTACTTTGCAGAGCTGTTGCAGTGTTAAAAGGGAGGGGAGCTATGAGCACCTTGGAAGAAGGTTGGGATAAAGATTGTGTTAGAGAGTAGATTTATCGGGATATTCTGCTTCTTCTGTGAGCTGTACAACTCCTAGCATGTTCATTTATTAAGTGGTCTATTTTTATCCCATTTTCCCTCCGGGAAGCTTCAGGCAGTGGTCTGCTGCGCTTCACTCCTCCACAACACCCCTGTAAGGTAGGCTAGGCTGAGAGAAAGAGACTGAGTGACTGGCCCAGGGCCACCCAGTGAATGTTTATGCCAAACAGAGATGTGAATCTGGCACACAGTGGCAAACCACCTTTGAACATCTCTTGGCTTGAAAACTCTACAGGGCCCAGTGCTGTAGCCACTCCACCATAGTAGCTGTCTTTAGTTAGGTAAAGGTCCCCTTGCTCGAAAGCCAGTCGAGTCCGACTCTAGGGTTGCGGTGCTCATCTCCGTTTCAAAGCCGAAGAGCCAGCGCTGTCCGAAGACGTTTCCGTGGTCATGTGGCCGGCATGACTAAACACAAAGGCGCACGGAACGCTGTTACCTTCCCACCGAAGTGGTACCTATTTATCTACTTGCAATTTCTTGCTTTCGAACTGCTAGGTTGGCAGTAGCTGTCTTTAGTTAGCATTCAACAAAAATCTTCAGCAATGATGGCAAAAGCAGTTTGAGAGTCCTGTGAATTCTGCTAGGAACAGAATGGATGTTTTCCGAAGCCAGTGGTGAGCTCTCAATCCAGTCCCTTAAGCAGGCTGGCTTAGCGGCGCTCCATCTCGGAGCACGTCAAGCAATAAAGAAAGGAGCAAACGGGCACACGGAAGAAGCGCAAGCTGTCTCTCGCCCTTGGGAAAGGGTATCCAGGTCACAAAAGGCTTGTGTCTTAATACTTCCCTTCTGCAAAAAGAAATACCATCAAGTGGCCTCTCTCTGTCACGTCTCCCCACCCCCTCACCCAGCTTCGGTGCATTAGGGGCAGAATACAACAGGGGTCAGGTGGGCATCTTAAAGGCTAACAAGATTTATTCCAGCAGAAGTGATTGTGGGTCAAAGACCACTTCCTAAGATGCCCGGGAGTGTGAATCCATTAGGCTCTGTTAATATACCGAATTAAAAAGTGTGTGTGTGTGTGGGGGGGGGGGAGATGACACAAAGAGAGGCCAGTGCACAGCAAGGTCCAATGCAAAGAGTAAGTTCACTCAGCATGGGTGCAAAAACCCTCTCAGCTGTTAATAGACAGGCAAAAACTAAAGCCTGGTGCAGGATGAAATAGGATAAGCAGAAACGATATGGAGTTACAGAGGTATAGGTGAAATGATTAACATCTGTAAGGGATGGCATGTCGTGACTTGGGTAGCCCAGG